CAAGTACCCCAGTCTTGTGCCGGGTACTCTGCTTAGTAAACACTCAGACGTCCCCCGACCACCCAATTGATCATCTCCGAAGTCCCGCGGTACAGGCTACTTTCCTCCTGGGAGGTCATTTTCACCACAATAAGTTCAGGGACGACTTGCATAGCCTAAGATCCTACTCACACGCCGGGATGGGGCGTACACCAACGTCCAGCTTCTCATGTACGCTCCACCATGGGTTGCTACCCCACTTACGCTCCCGAGTNTACTCCTCGACCTCGTCCTCAGTGAACTCCTTGTCTAGTTCTACGTTCCCAACGTCTGCCTTCGATGTCTCTTCTTGCAATTGGTCGAAAGCTTGATTCTCCGAAGGCACTCCTTGGTCAAAAGCTTAATTCTCCGAGGGCACTCCAAGTCTCTTGTAGTGTNCACTGCTTTGTACTCGCCTCTCTCCAATCGAAAACAGTGTACTGTGCGTGCCGCAAATCTAGCTCCGCAGCTTTTGCGTGGTTGGGACAGGCCATTCAGCTTGCTCGACGTGAGTAATAAGCTTTGCTTTGATGGCTCTATGTTTTATCGATCCNCGCAGTTTTTGCGTGGTTGGTCCGGTCGTTCAGCTTGCTCGACGTGAGTAATAAGCTTTGCTTTGATGGCTCTATGTTTTATCGATCCACTTCAAGCAACGAACACCCCCCACCCCTCCACCGTCCGATCCATTTTGGATCTCACGCCGGAGAGTTTTGGGGTGCCTTAGCTTTAAGTCCTCCACCGCCTAATGGGGGACTTAAGTTTTTTTTAATGCCGTACCAATATGCATAAACCACAGGTAAGCTTGTGCTTACTTTGGACTGTACCCTCCTCATCCTCTGGGGGAGGTAGAGGGGGGGGGGGGCGCATGGCCTCTATATTTCAGGGGGGGTTCGGGTACTGGTTGGGGGTCGGGTCTATGTGCACTGTATCCTTGAATTGTCCCCTCACTATAGCTACAGATTTTCAGAATAGAGCTATCCTCACTTAACGTGTCTATGTGTCCGGCAATCTCCGATACAAATCAACCTGTGAGGTTTCAGTNGCGCATGGTCTCCATCTTTAAGGGGGTGTTGGGGATCGGGTCTATGTGTACTGCATTCTCGAATTGTCCCCTCACTATAGCTACTGTGGATCAGTATACAGCTATCCTTACTCAACGCGTCTATGTGTCCGGCAATCTCCGATACCGATCAACCTGTGAGCTTTCCGTATACAGCTTTCGTCACTCAATGCGTCTATGTGTTCGGCAGTCGCAGGCGTCACTCAACCCGTTAGGTCTCAACATGCAGNCGTAGCTTTCCTCACTCAACCCGTGAGGTTTCAGTATGCAGCTATCCTCACTCAAAGCGTCTTTGTGTCTGGCAAACTCACAAACCAATCCATCTGTGAGTTTTCAGTATGCAGCTTTCCTCACTCAACACGTCTATGTGTCCGGCAATCTCCAATACAAATCACCTGTGGGGTTTCAGTATGTGTCTATCCTCACTCAATACGTCCATGTGTCCAGCACTATCGAACATACTCAACCCGTGGGGTTTCAGTATGCAGCTATCCTCACTCAACACGTCTATGTGTCCGGCAATCTCCAATACAAATCACCTGTGGGGTTTCAGTATGTGTCTATCCTCACTCAATACGTCCATGTGTCCAGCACTATCGAACATACTCAACCCGTGGGGTTTCAGTATGCAGCTATCCCCACTCAACGCGTCTATGTGTCTGGCAAACTCACAAATTATTCCATCTGTGAGGTTTCAGTATGGAGCTATCCTCACTCAACACGTCTATGTGTCCGGCAATCTCCAACACAATCACCTGTGAGGTTTCAGTATGCAGCTATCCCCACTCAACGCGTCTATGTGTCTGGCAAACTCACAAATTATTCCATCTGTGAGGTTTCAGTATGGAGCTATCCTCACTCAACACGTCTATGTGTCCGGCAATCTCCAACACAATCACCTGTGAGGTTTCAGTATGCAGCTATCCTCACTCAAAGCGTCATGTGTCCAGCACTCCAACATCACTCAACCCGTGGAGTTTCAGTTTGCAGCTATCCCCACTCAACGCGTCTTTTGTGTCTGGCAAACTCAAAAACCAATCCATCTGTGAGGTTTCAGTATGCAGCTATCCTCACTCAACACGTCCATGTGTCCGGCAATCTCCTACATCACTCAACCTGTGAGGTTTCCGTAAGCAATCCTCACTCCACGCATCCTTGCGTCACGTGTCTTTGGTAGCGCATACTATGGGGGCTATATTTGGGTGGCGTTATTTACAGCGCTTTGCCAACAGCGCCAACCCGCTTATGTCTAGAGCAGGGGGGGGGGAGGACGTGGGCGCAAAGTTCGCCTGCTGTATCTGCGGAAAGAGCTTGATTGACATTGCTTTATGGGTCGGATCTTGTTGTGGCGGTGGTTCAAATAATGCTTGGCTGCAACCTGTTTTCAGGTTGTCTCTGTCGGTCTGAGTTTTCCTCGGTCTGAGTTTTCCGCGAAGATGCCGAGACGCTGTGCGCTCTCAGCCGGTAGCACGCAGCGAGGGCTGGTCGGCGATGGAGGCCTGCTTGCCGAGCCGAACGAGGAGATGTTGAGCCTGCTTTTCTCCCTTCTGAATTGGTTGTTGTTGTTGATCTTACTGCACTCCTCGAGCGTGGTCTCGAACACGACATTGTGGATGCCGACGTGTGTTTAATCGTGGTGCCTGAGTTGACGGAGCGCTGTTGGTGAGATGGTGGTATGTGCTTTGCACCCTCTGCCGACATGGCGTTGCCGCTCTGCTATATGTTGCCGTTGGCTGACTGCTAGTGACAGTAGTTGAAAATAGAGAGGTCGGTCGAGTTTACGGGATCCAAGAAACGTCACCGCTTCCGAACGGTAGAGATAGTGCTTGGACGTTTGCTGTCTTTCTAGAACTTGGAACTGTTTTTTCTTTGCGTTTTGGCTTACTGGCTGGTTGAAGATGGCTGCTTCCAGGGGGGGAAATCCATTCATATCTCGAATGGCGCCCACATTTCGTTCTTTGCGCACGAAGGCTTTTCGGCAAGAGGCGCGAAAAACGCGGGCGTTTTTTAGTCTTGCTCTGTTAAGCCTTTGCCTCGATTTTGTCCCGACAATCATGCGAGATAGGTCGAACGCGATTGCCGATAGCGTTGACGCAACATGCACGGTTCATGTCGGAGTTTCTGTCTAGCCACTTCACCCGGTGTCCCATGGCAGTCTCATGTTGCCGTTCCCCTTTCTGATTGAATCCCCTCACGCCCACAGCAAAGAACAGGCCGGCTACGTTAGTCTGAGTTTCGAGACGATCTCGGGGTACGGCCCCAACGGCGCGGTGATTCACTACGCCGCACAGAAGGAGACCGCGCGGGATCTTGGGACGGACAGCCTGTTTTTGCTGGTGCGCGCTGTTGTAGTCGTTTTCCGCTTCCGTTTTTGGTTTCCGCTGCGTTGTTCGTTTTGTGTCTCTCTTCCGTCTATCTGTCTCCATCTCTCTCTTTCTCTGTCTCCGTCTCTGCTTGTCTCTCTCTATCTCGCTATTTCTACTTCTTTCCCTACCCCTCTCTCCCTTGGTGCGTCTAGTTGAGATCGTGTTATTACTTGCGGGTTGTTTTTCTGTTGTATTTTTGTGTGACTGAGGAACAAACAGGGTACACATTGATAGCTTGTTTTTATGCTCCTACCCCGCTCCCTTTACGTGATTCTTTTAGAAGTGTCTAGCTTACGGGCTTCGAGCGAAGGACACTGCATCGTACAATGTAGAGCAACACTTGCGGCTTCATCCGAGTCGTACAGTGTTTCAGAACCTCGTTCTAGCTGTTATTTTTTTTTTCAATCGGCAATGGGCACTACTAAATACGTGGACAATAGCGCAACACGCCAGTAGCAAAACCGCGTTGATTTTACTTATCCCACCCCCGATTTCCCCTAATCGAATGTGCTACGGTGTATGGCAATACTGCGTGGGCTACATACGACCATTCATGCTGATGAGTATCCCCGTCCCCCCCCCTCGATGCTCCTTCCCGGGGACGCGTGCCCAATGGTCTTGACGCGTACGGCATGCAAAACCGTGAGACCCCCCCCCCCACCCCCCTCCGATGCCCTTCCCGCGACACGTTCGTAGGACTCCGGAGCCCAGTACACCGACGGCACGACAGACGTGACGAGGACGGTGCACTTCGGCAGTCCAACCGAGCACCAACGGCGTTGCTTCACCCTTGTCCTGAAGGTGATCCTTGTGCTGAAGCTGAGGGAGGGAGAAGGCTATCGTGATGTTGTTCATTGTTGCCGTTTTGCGAGTAAAATCAGCTTTCGAACTAGTGGTAACTGGTAGATACCTTGTTTTCTGCCGATGCTTGGACGGCTGCCGTAGCCGTATTACCAGCGAACGAACGCAGCTGTTACGACCTCTCACCACGTTGGCCCAAGCTGCCGAAAATATATTTTCCTGCGCGATTGCACTCTACGAAGGCTTCTACTTCCCGAGTCTGCTACAGAGAGAAACGCCACCCACTCCTCTTAGAGTTAATGATTCTTCAGGCATGAACACGACGCCCCCCCCACACGGTCCTGACCTGCCGCCCGGCTGTGATCGCGCATGATGTTGCCGCTCGCGTCTTTGGTTGGTTCCACGCACACGCGTCTTGTACTGGTGGCCGGTTAGCCAGGGTCACATCGCCCTGGCCCGAGCGGTGTTCCCGGAAGATACCATGGGAAGCAAGCTCGACGTGCTGGCGAGACTGGCTTTGTGGGAAGCGGGTCTGGATTACCGGCACGGGACGGGCCACGGTACGGTTTGGTCATGTGTGTGTGCGTTATAATAGTTTTTGTTTTTTTGGCGACGACGGCCCTAGTCGGCTAACCAATGGCATTGCGTCATTTTAAGTCAGGAATGTTAGACAAAGGGTAACCCAGTAGGCTACCCAATCAGCTCTGACTTATTGGCTAGCCTCTATGTTGAGTGAGTGGTCTGATAGATTGCCTTTACCTACATGTAGCAAGGACAAACGAGACCCGCAAACACGGTTTTTGTCCGCGGGTTTCCGCGATCAGAGACCTGCGGGGGACCCCGATTACAACCAGCTCAGCCTCTGGATCTAGGTCGCCTTTAGAATTAAGTCTGTACGCGTATCTTGTTATAAGTAGCATCGACGCGTCATCCTGCTGCGAGAGTTGGTCGAGCATGCGTGCTACCACCCCCTAGCGTCCATTTCTTCCAGGCGTCGCTGGCGTCTCTTTCTCGCGTCTGTCTGTGCCAGACAAGACTTGAACGGGGAACAGCAGAGATGGGGTATTCTTTGGGGTCACGCCCCGAGCAACTCCCCGAGCAAAACGCAAGGGTGGCGGGCGGCGAGAGAGTGGTGGTTCCCTTTCTTTCCTTTCCCTAGGATGGGCGGCAAGACAAACCAAACCGCTGATGACGTTGTGCGGACTGTGTGTAGTGGCACCCCCCAACATTGATCGGGCATTTGTCGTGCGCGACATCATCCGACCGGCCGTACCAGCCGTCCTAAGCTTCTCCCGCCCAAATCCACCTCCAACCGCCACCCGTCTCCGCCTTGCCGTTCCTCTTCGATGCCCACCCACCCTAACTTTACCGCGCCTAGAGCCCGCGCCCCCACCGAGAGCTAAAAACGGAAGTCGTAGTGGTAGCCGGCGCAGCACTTCATCGTGCGGTCGTGAAAGAGGCTGTCAGTGTGCCACATCCGCGTGGCGTGATCATGCTCAATGCCATTTCACGTCTCTCATTTCTGTGCTTGTTGTTGTTACTGCGGTGTTGCCGCCCTCGCTGGTGGCCAACCAACAGGGGTTGGGGCGTTCTTGAATGTGCACGAGGGGCCGCACGGGATCCACTGCCGAATACGGCCGGATGAGCAGGGGATAAAGGTGAGCTAGCGGCGAGTTAGCGTTTCGAAAGCTCGTGCTCAAGTCTCACCCCGTCTTGGCTGCGGAGAAGCAGGAAAATGCGCCGTTTGCAACTCTCACGAGAATCGCCACGGGCTCTGATATCGTTATGTTACCGATGTCCTCCTCCTCCTGTTGCTGCTGCTGCTGCTGCTGCCGTTTGATGGTATACGCGTGTTGCTTCGTTTGTTTTATCATTCATCAGATCGGCATGACGACGTCGAACGAGCCAGGATACTATGAGGACGGCGCGTTCGGCCTTAGAATCGAAAAGTGAGTGCGCCCCCCCCACCTTCTATCTGGTTGGCGAACCCCCGACGTGCTCCATCCGGGTTCGTGAGGTTCGTCAGATCTGAAAGTGTGAAAGCATTTGGTTGTACAGTACACGACGATCAATGCGTACAGCCGACCAACTACTGTCTCACAACTCTCCGACAGCAAGAGCCCCGAAGTATGCAGCCGTATTAGTAGTCGATCGACCCACGATCCTGTATGCGTTGCAAAGCTCATACACGCATGCATATGATGAGTGTGCGTTATTTACTTGCAAAGCTCATACACGCAATATCAGACAGTGTGCGTTATTTACTTACTGTCACTGCTGATATTGCTGCTGCTGCTGCTGCTGCTGACGCAACCCCTCAGCGTTTGCATCTGTGTAGAGAAAATGACCCAGCATAACTTCGCCGGGAAGCGCTCGTGCACCTTCGAGACCATCACCATGGCGCCGATCCAGACCAAGGTATGTGCTGCCTGCCTTCCTATCCAATGGTTTATAATATATCGGGCACAGTACACTCGTTTGTACCCCCGGGGGGGGGTGTACCCATAGTCGTGCATGCCGTAGTCGTTAGACCATTGACCTCGCATCCCTACAAAGCCGGGACGGAGCACGCCGGGTTCTCACCGGACCAGGCTCTCACATCACCAAGCGCGAAGCGCCGTGAGATATTCGGCGAGTCGCATGAAGGGTGCGCTGCATCCTGCTAAGGGTGTTCGGCATCTTGTGCTTACTTCCTTGCGTACGGATGACAGCTGCGCATGACTTACTATATTTTCTGGTGCGTGAACTTCCAGAGACAGTTGTAAGCACTGTTTAACTGCCTCCAGGGTGCTTGACCATTGTAACACAACGTGGTGCGATCAT